CAGAAGAGAAATAAGTTCATGTATTTATAGCCAACTGATTTTTGACAAAGGTGCCAAGAATGTACATTGGAGAAAGGACACCCTCATCAATAAATGGTATTGGGAAAACTGAATATTCATATGCTATAGAATAAAACTTGACCTCTATCTCTCATCATATACTAAAATCAAAACTTAAATGTAGACCTGAAACTATAAAACTATTAGAAGAAAATATAGCTAAAACACTTCTGAACATAGGTCTAGGCAAAGACTTTATGGGTAAGACTTAAAGGCATAGGCAAGAAAAACAAAAATAGAATATACCAAACTAAAAAGGTGCGCACCAAAGTAAACAATCAATAGAGATAAACAATCAAATAGAGTAAAGAAACAACCTGTGGAATTGGAAAAATGATTTGCATAGTATTCGTCCAATAATGGACTAATATCCACAATGTAAAAGAAACTCTAAAGACTCAACAGCAGAAAAATCAAATATTTCAATTAATAAATAAGCAAAGGATCTGAACATTTTTTAAAAGAATGTCTACAATTGGCCAATAAATGTATGAGAAAATGATCCACATCACCAATCATAAGGAAAATGCAAATTAAAACCACAGTAACACCTCATCCTAGTCAGAACGGCTATCATCAAAAAGATTTAAAAAAAACTGATGAAGGTGTAGAGAAAAGGGAATTCTTATATACTCTTGGTTGGAATGTAAATTAGTACAGCCATTATGGAAAACAGTCCAGAAGTTTCTCAAGAAATTAACAACAGAACTACCACATAATCCCACAATCTCTCTACTGGGTATTTATCCAAAGAAAAGAAAATCAGTATATCAAAGTGATACCTATACCTCATATTTATTGCAGCTCTATTAAAAATAGTCAAGATATGGAATCAACCTCATCAACATATGAATACATAAAGAAAATGTGGTCTATACACAATAGAATACTATACAGCCATAAAAATGGAATCTTGTCATTCCCATCAACACAGATGAGCTTGCAGGACATTCTGTTAAGTGAAATAAACCAGACACTGAAAGATACTGAATGTTACCGCTCATACATTTGAATTTTTAAAAATCTTGAGCTCGGGCCGGGCGCGGTGGCTCAAGCCTGTAATCCCAGCACTTTGGGAGGCCGAGGCGGGTGGATCACGAGGTCAACAGATCGAGACCATCCTGGTCAACATGGTGAAACCCCGTCTCTACTAAAAATACAAAAAAAAAAAAATTAGCTGGGCATGGTGGCGCGTGCCTGTAATCCCAGCTACTCAGGAGGCTGAGGCAGGAGAATTGCCTGAACCCAGGAGGCGGAGGTTGCGGTGAGCCGAGATCGCGCCATTGCACTCCAGCCCGGGTAAGAAGAGCGAAACTCCGTCTCAAAAAAAAAAAAAAAAAAAACCTTGAGCTCATAGAAGTAAGAAATAGAATTGTGGTTATTAGAGGCTGGGAAGGGTGAGGGTAGGAGAGGATAGGGAGAAGTTGGTTAATAGATACAAAATTGTAGCTAGATTGGAGGAATGAGTTCTAGTGTTCTGTAACACTGAAGGGTGAATCTGGTTGATAATAGTTTACTGTACATTTATCAAAGAGCTAGAACAGAAGACTTTGAATATTCGCAACACAAAGAAGTTTTAAATGTTTGAGGTAAAGGATATGCTGATTACCCTGATTTGATTGCTATACATTGTACACATGTAATAAAATAGCACTCTGAATCCCATAATACGTATCATTACTGCACATCAACTAAAAAATACTGAAGTCAATCAGAGGTTGTGACTCTCCACCTAAAGAGTTGATAATGTTTGTTAAAAATTGGTATATATGTAGAAGATTCATGTTTTAAAAAAATTAACACATTCTAAAGCATAGACCAGCAGGGAGAAAACACACATAAAAACCTCAGCTAGGATTTTTTTTAAACATTTAAGATATGAATTTTAAAGTTTATATAAAGCCTTTTTTTTTAAAAGGTAAGATTTCATCAACACTCTCTTTTAGTGAATTTCAATGTATTATTTATCCATTGAAAAGTCATGGGCTATTTTGTTCTTCTGTGTCCTATCATATAAGATTGTTTTAGAGAGAAACTTGATAAAAATCAAATGTGGCTGGGCAACAAATGAATTCATTATATTGAAGGTAAATGTCTATATTTTAGAATAGATAATTTAAACCAAACATGACAGTATGAAAATTAACATTTGTGTTTTTCTCACTACAGAGAATACTGCACAGTAGTATTCTCAAGTCTTATTTCCCAGTTACAATAACATGAATAGATATTGATGTAGCCTATTATCTCAGCAATAATGCATATTACAACAAGCGATTACTTATTAGCAGTAAAATGTTTCTCCAGGGCTTAATTTAGAATGCCTGAAATGAAATAACAAAATCTCAGTCTTGGAAGGGATCCTCTGTATAGTTATTGTTTACGGAAATTTTTATTGCTTCACAACAGTTTAAGATCCTTAATTGGCTAGGTCTTTGAAATGAAAGCGTGTGGTGAAGTACTAAGGTCTTGGACAGCTAATGTGAATGCACATATGCAGTACTGTAAACCAGGCTTCTTGGAATTATTGGTAGTTTTGATTCAGATGTAGTAGTGAATATCTCTTTCTTGCTCAGTGATTGCTCTAAGACTTCTGAATAGCCTGCTGCCTTAGCAGCTTTCACCCATGCCTCAGGATTCTATGTGCAGATTGAAATTTGGGCATGGATGGGTTAATCCACTCAACTCTACTCTTGCATAATCAGAATACAGTCAAGTGTCAATTTGGGCGGACTGAGTTGAGGCTGGGTTGAGATGCAAAACCTGGCTGATTCAATGCATGACAGCAAGTTGTCCTAGAGAATATCACTACTGGGTGAGCTAAATCTACATTATATTTGACAAGTACCAGAGAAGTATAATTCTGCAAGTTCTTATGATATAAAGGTAAGCTTCCAGTTTTGAAAATACAGAGACAAGGAGGAGCTCAGGTGTTCAGGAGTAAGATAAGGATGCAGGTCTGGAACTTCTGAGTCGCAAGGGAAATCCTGATAAAAAAGCATATGGTAAAGAATACATTTACCAGATACAGGGGTGTTAGGTCAGAGTAGGTGCTAGCACAGGGATGACTTGATCCTAAGCCCCCAAACTGATACCTAAAGGTTTCCTATATTTTCCCTGACCAGAAAAGCAATTGATCATGGAGCCTGGGACAGAGCTGAGTCTCCAGGTAGTCACTATATGGTCTCAGCTGTGGAACAGGAAGGCTTTAGGAGCAGGGAATTTCCATGTCATTATATCCTTCTACAGTTCAGGGCCTTTTTTGTGGACTTCTTTATCCTTTTCCAAGCAGTTTAATTTTTAGAAACTGATCGCAATCTAGAGGTAGTTTTTGCCTTGATTGACAGGTATCATTTTTTTTTTTTTTTGAGACGGAGTTTTGCTCTTGTTACCCAGGCTGGAGTCCAATGGTGCGATCTCGGCTCACCGCAACCTCCGCCTCCTGGGTTCAGGCAATTCTTGCCTCAGCCTCCTGAGTAGCTGGGATTACAGGCACGTGCCACCATGCCCAGCTAATTTTTTTGTATTTTTAGTAGAGACAGGGTTTCACCATGTTGACCAGGATGGTCTTGATCTCTTGACCTCGTGATCCACCTGCCTTGGCCTCCCAAAGTACTGGGATTACAGCTGTGAGCCACCGCGCCCGGCCAACAGGTATCATTTTTGTGACCACTAGTGGATGCCCATTGCTGGAGCAGATACCTAGGTATTCTCTTCCAGGCATGGCTGAAGTTATGCTTAGGTCTTACAGATGGCCCAGGGCTCTGGGTCCTTCTTAGCTTCCTTTAAAGCTGCTGACTGAGGACTGAGTAATGGCTGGATGTGTCCATGAGTGAACTAAAATCTCCACCCTTCCAAAACATGAAAATAGATTTCCTTAATGGAACTGCTGGCTAGAGGAAAAGCATCTATAGACTTTTGACTTGTATTTCTATCCAAAGCTTTTTTCCATGATTCCAAATTCCAGGCACTCAGTAAATTGCTTAATTATTTGGAAAGGTGCTGAGCCAGCAGCAGGTGGCCTTACTCAGCCCAGATCTAACCACACTGTGGTGGTATGTTGCCCCCATTTCCTAAGCAAGTCTACTGAAATGTAGACCACTTACTCAGCTAAACACATCTCTCGTGTTCAGCCTCCTTAGTTCAGAGTATCTGGATTGTGCTTAGAAAGTAGTAAAGGAATAGGAAAGTGAGGAGAGCCCGGAACTCAATGACTAAACACATGCAACACAAAAGGCATGATCTTGTGGGCAGGTAAGGATGAGCATCTAACATTGTAGGTGAAGAGAAATCCAGCAAAAGAGAAGATCTGATGTTCAGCTGATAGATAGAGTTTTTGCAAACTCTAAATAAAATTTTAATATTTCCATTGATTATCCATTCATCCACCATCGTGTGTGTGTGTGTGTGTGTGTGTGTGTGTGTGTGTGTGTATTTTTGAGATGGAGTCTCGTGTCTCTCTGTTGCCTGGGATGGAGTGCAGTGGCATGATCTCAGCTCACTGCAACCTCTGCCTGCGGAGTTCAAGTGATTCTCCTGCCTCAGCCTCCTGAGTAGCTGGGACTACAGGTGCATGCCACCATGCCCAGCTAATTTCATCCATCCAATGTTTACTACAATCTACTGTTTGCTCCAGTGTTGTCCTAGGCATATAACAAGTTCAACTTCTGTCAGAGGAGCCTGGTTTACTAGGCTGAGGTCAGAACAGGATGACATAAAGAAATTGCCATTTGTTAAGTATCTAATATATGCTAGGCACTTTCATATTGAGGACTTAATTTAATTGTCAAAACAATCCTGTGGATATTATTATCTATAGTTCTGAAGAATAGCAAGGAAAACATGTTTCATGAATGCAGAATAAAGAGGAATCAAACTAGAGAAAAGACAGGCATTTGTGTGACCTATACAAGGAACAACTTCTGAGTCTGTTTACTTACCTGTGAAACCTGTCTTGGAGGATTAGTTGTAAAGAGGAGATTGCATTAAGTAGCAAATATGCCAGTCTTTCCATGGGGTTTCACACCTGGGAAGGGTTGGTAAGTGTATGTCTTCTAAATGCTCATCAGAAGTCTTACAGAAGGATGCCCAGGCAGGTTGGCAGCGTGCAGGAATGAGAGCCTTGGCAGGTTGACATACAGCAATCCCTGGCTGGAAAGTGCTGGCACGGGACATCCTACCCATCGGTAACATGGTTTCAGAAATCTAGAGCTCAGTCCTCAATCCCAAGGCACCTAGAAAACCAAGGCATAATTGATAGTTAGAATGAATAAAACATACAACTTCACATACAGATGCACTTACTCAAGGCAGGAGTGAGTAGAAACCAGTAGATTAGTCATGAGCACAAACAGAAGCCAGTCATGCCATCTGAGGTTAGGGAAGAACTGGTCAGAATGACAAGAGCACTGCTGCATTTCAGCAGGGCCTGTAGCATCAGCCCCCCGCCCCCCTGCCCCGCAAGGAGAAAGTCATTGTCAGAAGGCATTGCTTCCACATTCTCATCTCCAGGAGTTATGACTCTCAGTTCACCGGTCTCAGACTTGCTTCTCAGATCCCAAGGGCTGACCCTCCGTGTCCCTGAAGCTGTCTTCTCCCAGCTGATGTCAGCTTGGTTCATAGTAAGCGCACTGGGTGCTGAGTCATCCAATGTCAAGGGCCCTTTGATCTGCCCACCAGACCTGGGGAAGGCTGAGTCACCAGACCCAGGGAAGGCTGAGTCTGCCAGTGGAATAAGTGGTCCCAGATGGGGAAGGAAGTGACTGCAGACACAGAGCACCAGGCACTTCCTTCAGGGACCTCCCCACCTTCACAGAACATGGTCGGTTCCTGTTGCTGTCCTCTCTCTCTCTGTCTCTCTCTCTCTCTCAAGTTATGGATATAGTGTAAAGGTGCCTTGACAATATTGCTCCATAGGAGAAACTCTGCTTGGCTTCTGAATGAGATGGAATTGCTGACTGTTTCCCTCTCATGAGTGAATGAAGGTGAGTGCAGCACAGAACTTAAAAATAGGACTTTCTCTGACTCTTGCTCACTAATTATACCATAAGTGAAGAGTAGGGAAGAAAGTTTGTTTTGTTTCCACATAATTCATGTAATAGGGTCTGGATTACATGACAGAATTGTCACATTTCTCCTGGTTTGAACCCATACCCAGAATCTATCCTGAGAAACTCTCTTCTTTGAACACCCAGCAGGTGTGCACTAATTTGTTGCCTGAACCTTTGGCCACAAAGCTTCAGCAGAAAAGGTTTTTAACTATGAGAACAGAAAGAAATATGCATGTAGAGAAGAGAATGTGTCAATAACAGAGTATTAGAGTGAGTAGATCCACGGAGAGAAATTATTAAAATGTTACAAAGATTCCATTTTTCATTTACAGCATCATATGCCATAACTCTGAATTTAATTTATTTCACTCAATCATAATTTAGATAAAACTTTTCCCTCATCAGCTCTGTAACTAACAATTTCTTCCTTCTCAGAACTCCCACAGGCCCTCTTACATTTCTTTCTTATCACAGTCATTACTTTGTACTGGGGTAAATCCAGGTTCTGTGGGGCTCTAAGCTTAAACAATTTTGGGGAATCTCTTTAGGGAAAATAATTCAAAGTGATTAATACAAAATTAGGCATGAAAATGAACATTTATTTAGAATTTGAAAAATATCTGTAATTCTAGCTTATAAGGAGGCTGGGGTGGGAGGATCACTTGAGCCAAGGAGTTCAAGGCTGAAGTGAGCTGTGATTGCACCACGGCACTTTAGCCTGGGCGACAGAGCGAGATTCTCTTTCTAAAAAACAACAACAAAAAAGAAATTACAAGGAAGTAAGTTTTGAAAAGCTAACAGATACAACAGACATTCCATAATCTAAACAAATAACATTTGTATTACGTCAACTACCTACCACAGTTACTTAATATTTTCTGTACTGAACATGGAAAGACAGTTCAGTCTTCTATAATGGTCATATTTTTTTACAGTTGATAATTGGAAAAAATAAAACATACAACTTCACGTATTCTTCAAAATACTTCTACAGGTTTGTGCCCTAGAAATCTATATATTCTATTTTGTGTGATTACCAACAAAAAGGAAAAAAACAGATAGTGCATGTATAATTCGAACTGCTTATGCTGTTATCGAAAGTATTCCTGAATTCAGAAAATTGTTTGTTTTTTTCAGAGAATTGTTTTGACCAGGCACTAATGGGAATGGAATCCACTCTTCAGTTTTATATGGCTGATTAGAAGAGTATTCCACAGTCTAGGTCCTGGCTCCATACACTTCAAACCTTGCATCTCCTCCAGCACTCACCTACTTCCTGTGCTGGGTGCAATAATTTTGTTTGAAAGCAAAATATCTGTGAGCCCCAGATGTGTGTTTCAATAAGCTCAACTGAATGTGTCTTCAATACTTTGCCTTTTTTGGACCTCAAAAATGGCCTTGGCCATTCTAACAGTGGGGAAAGTCAGAGGAAAAAGAAACAGCAGTTTAACTAATTGAAATTTTGTTTTAATTTTCACTTTTGCAAATTTTCCCAGAATACATGGCCATGTAAATATGTATAGGGTCTCTCCTGGAGTGTTGGAAGGGGCCCACATAAGTGAGGGGCACAGACGCTTGAGTTTCATTTGCTTCATGGAAAATCTCCCTTTGCTTTTACTTCCTATTATAATAATTTATGTACTCATCTAATTATGCCTACTATATTTGAGAGCACTTTTACCTTTCCAGTTCCAGACAGAGTTCTTTTTATGTAGAAGCTGCTCAGTAGATTCTGTTGCATTAACTAAGAAATTCACATACATTAAGAAGCAAGTTGCAGTAATTTGGTCTCTCTGTCCACCTGACTGAGTGTGCAGAGGAATTCCAGGCTGTCTACCTCAGGGAAAATTACAGTTGTGTTTCTTCTTAGAGAGGGCACCAGTCAGTAGGTTTGGTCTTGAGTTTTTGTGGAATCCCAGGGTTTTTCTTTCCACCAGTCTCAAGAAGGTCAGAGACTTCTGGGTGAGGATTTCTGTAAGAATCATAAATTTATTAGTTTAAATAAGACGAATAGTATTTTCACTATGATTTAGAATAATTATAGGAAGAGATTGGTTAAATTATATTACAGCTATAAAATGGAATACATTATTTAAATGCATGCAATGGAATATTTCTTCTGAAATGGAAAAGCATTTGTAGTATCCCATCAAGTGGATAATAATGCTCTACTTCAACACTCTCACCAGTTCAAACCTTTACAACATGTTTCTTGTTCTTCCAGTGTGCCTGTTCAAGAACACATGACATTTACTCTTCTGCAGTTTCGGTGGTACTTCCATCCACTCACCTCCCCACTCTTTACTTCCCTCCTATCCAGGTTGGATTCAATGGCCCATTACTTCAACTATTCTCTTGCAAATACTCTAAACTCCCTTGGCCCCTCCTTGTACTTTTGCTCTTTTGAAAGCATCTACTTTATTGCAGTAAAATACACATATAAAATTTCCCATCATAAGCATTTTCGAGTGCACACTTTAGTGGTATGAAGTACATCCATGTCGTACTTGGTAGCAATCAGCACTACCATCCACTTCCAGAACTCTTTGCATCTTGCAAAATTGAAACTCTATACCTATTATTTTTTTAAATTTCAACTTGTATTCTAGATTCAGGGAGTACATGTGCAGGTTTGTTACAAGGGTATATTTCATAATGCTGGGGTTTGGGGTAGAAATTTACTCATCACCCAAGTAATAAGCATAATACCCAATAAGTAGTTTTTCAGCCCTTGCCTCCCTCCTTCCTCCTCTCCTGTAGTGATCAATGTCTATTGTTTCCATCTTTATCTCCATGTGTACACAATGTTCAGCTCCCACTTATGAGTGAGAACATGTGGTATTTGGTTTTCTGTTTAATTTGCTTAGGATAATGGCCTTTGACTACATCCATGTTGCTGCAAAGGATATGATTTCATTATTTTTTATGGCTGTGTAGTGTCCCATGGTGTATATGTAAATTTTCTTTATTGAATTTACCATCGATAGGCACCTATTGATCTTGTGCCTTTGCTATTGTAAACAGTGCCTTGATAAACGTAGAAGTGCATGTGCTTTTTTGGTAGAACAATTTATTTTCCTTTGGGTATATACCTAATGGGATTGCCAAGTCAAATGGTAGTTCTCTTTTCTGCTCTTTGAGAAATCTTAAACTGCTTTCCACAGTGGCTGAACTAATTTTTCTTCCTACCAACAGTAGTGTGTAAGTGTTCTCTTTTCTCTGCAGCCTTGCCAACATCTGTTATTTTTTAATCATAGCCAGTCTGACTGGTGTGAAATGGTATCTTACTATAGTTTTGATTTGCACATTTCTAATTAATGATGTTGAACATTTTTTGTGTATTTATTGGCTGCTTGTGTCTTTTAAGAAGTGTCTGTTCATATAAACCCTTTTTCTTCAGGTCTTCGCTGAAACATGGGCATTCATGGGAAGTGCTTTCTGCTTCCCAGGGTCAGGTATGGTGCTTTTCTGATGTGTCCCTGTAACACCACTCACTCCTATGTATCATTTGTCATGCAGTTCTTAAATTGCCATTCTTTAGGTCTGTCTTTCTAGCTAGTCAATATGCTCCTCAAAGACAGGGATTGGGTTATGTTCCAGCACCTGGCATAACAATTTTTTTTTTTTTTCCAAAACAGAGTTTCGCTCTTGTTGCCTAGGCTGGAGTGCAATGGTGCTATCTCAGCTCACTGCCACCTCCGCCTCCTGGGTTCAAGCGATTCTCCTGCCTTAGCCTCCCAAGTAGCTGGGATTACAGGAAATTGCCACCACACCCAGCTATATATTTTTTGTATTTTTAGTAGACGTAGGGTTTCACCATGTTGGCTAGGCTGATCTTGAACTCCTGGCCTCAGGTCATCTGCCTGCATTGGCCTCCCAAAGTGTTGGGATTACAAGTGTGAATCACTTTGCCTGACCTGGCACAACAATAGACACGTAGAGGGCACTTGGTCAGTAGGTACTAAATAAATGATGACTAAAACAGTGAATGAGTGAATGTAGAAAGGTCCAATAAGACCGCTGGATCATAGGCAGCCTAAAGAGGTAGAGTTATTCAGTTTGCTACGTCTCAAGTCCACCAGAGAAGAATATGTGTTTGGTGCAGGAATCCAGGGAGCTATAGGGAAGACTTGGAGGCCTTGTATCCCAGTGGAGTTGCTTTGAGCAAGGTTAAGTCCAAGGCAGGTTAAGGATATGGCAGAGCAAAAACATCAGATAGCCAGAGTTTGTTGGAAATCCAGAATGTCTTTTCTGGTGATTTCCCCAACCGCTTCTGTGGCAGTCTCTTATTTACTCGGACTCAAACACCAAATTCCCTCCCACTGCTTTTCATCCTTTTTACAACACCAGCTCTCTATATATCTTTGTTCCTAATTTTAAATTTTTTTTTTTTTTTTTTTGTAGAGACTGAGATCTCTCTATGTTGCCCAGGCTGGTCTTGAAGTCCTAGCCTCAAGTGATCTTCCTGCCTCAGCCTCCCAAAGTGCTGGATTACAGGTGTAAGCCACCTCCAGACATCTCATCTGTGAAACTTTAGGCGCTGATTGTTGTGGAAAGAGCCATGAACTTCAGGATATTCTCAGAGACTGGCATTATGGCCCACAAGAAGCTACCCTCTCAGCTTCTAGTTAGTTAGGCGTGGACTTCATCAGTCACAAAACGAAGACTCAGAGAACCTCCCAGGAGGACACATAATCAGCCTGAGAGGCATGGAGGTGTTAAAGAGGGAAGTGCCTGCTAGAATTTCAGTGGGTTCGATATGCTCTTTAATGATGCACAAATCATAGGTATACATTTTCTGACAATTGGAATCTATTATTACTCTCGAACCAGCTGTTTCCTGTAATGGAAGGGATATTTTGAGTTTATATGTTTTCAATCCTACATCCTCAGAAATCTATACTGATACTAATAAAGGGACTCATTTCTCCTACAAGAACACCTATGTGACAAAATTATGTTTGGGTATTGCCTAATGCACTCATAATAAATATATACAGCCATAAAACAGAGCAAAAGTCCTGGTAAGCCTGTTATTTGCAGTAATTGTAGATTGTGAGTGGACATTTTAAAGAGAAGCTTACAAGTTAGTTGTACTTTCTGGTAGTAATTACCTCCCACAAACATGACTCACTTTGGCAGTTTAAATGCAAGAGTTGGGTGTCCCAAAATCAACAGTTTTATAAATAAATCTCTGAATCATGAACTGAATGCACAAATGTTCAAATATTTTTCCTCCTTGATCTCAAAGATAGCTTTAGATTTAAGATACTGCACATATCTTAAATACCTTAGGGGAAAAATAAAAACAAAAAAAGGAAAAAGGTGATGGATGTCTCTTTAAACTGCAAAAAGGCTTTAACTTTGGAAGGGGACCTCCTCTCTGTAGGACTGAACCTCCAGCAACCAGAGTGTTAAGTGGATGTTTTCTTCAATCCCAGAGGGGAGGCTGCTATCAATCTGTTCTAATGTGGCCCATTTGTTTGCTTTTTAAGTAATACTCGCAGGGCAGACTTTTATGGTAATGTAGCAACATTAATGCTTTTGGGTGAGACTCTCCTGCAGTCTCGTGGGTAATAGAACACATAACGGAAGAAATGTAGCTGTGTCAGCTTCGAATGCCGCAGAAAGAACAATTCATGCCAGAAGGAGACATTCAGTTTTTGGAATGCTCACTCAAAGACACTGTGTATCTCAATGAACTTGAGCCTTCCAATCCGTGAAGCTTCTTTTTTTAAACCTGAAAAAAAAGCACACTCCGAAATTATTAACAGAAACATCATCCACCCCACTAGATTGATTTTTTTGGTCAAGTTCTAAAGTTTTATTTGTGTCTGTTTAAAAAGGGAACTGTATTAGAAGTCTGTTCTATTCTTGTATCCATGTTTTTCAGAATTTACAATTAATCACCCACATGGATCTAAGAGTAAAATCTGGAGTCAGAATTCTATCATCTGTGTTTAAAATATGAAATCACATGTCAATCTACCTATATTTGTCCCTCTGTTCAAAATAGCAATGTGATAGCCAACTTAGCACCGAATCCTATAGAATGTTCAGTGCTGAAAAAGAACTGCTTCTGCTATTTTGTTTTTCAGTCGTTTTCTGAATCTGATGTCTATTTTGTTCCCAGTTATTTTCATATCCTCAGCTGCTGCTATTACATTCCCATCTCTTGGAAGGAGCCAGAGCCAGAGAAATACAGGGTTCCTCTGTGGCCAAGGGAAAAATGCCTGCCAAGAATGCTGAACTTCTGGTGAAGGTCACTAAATACTACAAAACAGACTAAGTACAGTAAATAATAATGTTAGTGCACACAAATGAATAGCCAATTGCAATGGCATTTTGTGGGGAAATCTGATATCATATAATAGCACTAGTACATCTAGATGGAGAAGCTAATAAAATACCTCCAAAGGGCATGCAGCAATTCTGTGGTTAGACAAGGACCAACCCAAAGCTCAGCGTGTCCCAGAATAATCATCCTAACAAATAACTGGGATCTTTGGTTGCACATATTAGACCCCTCAGCATCATAGGCCAGAAACTTTTAACCTGGATCTCATTAAAAGTTTTTTGCACAGGAGGGAAAAACCTGGCTCATAGAGACCATACTCTTGACTGCAAAATGATCACCTATAACTGACTTTCAGACTCTTAGCCTGTCAAAAGATGGGGCAAATTCCTTCCATACAGCTCACTGGAGGTACTTACAGTGCCCAGGATCTTATTTATGGTCTAGGAAGAGTTTGAGTTTTTGGTGGCAGGAAGGGGAGTATAGTTTGGAGGAGATCCATCACATGCCTGTTCTCAAGCTATATTTTGAACAAGAGTAATTTATTGCTAAGATGAAGCTGTATGGTACCTTAATAAGTATCTGGGAGAATATAAGTTGCCTTGATGGTGACCAGAAGTGGCTTGGGAGAGGCAGGAGAATATAAACTGATCCTCTAATCCCCAGGCTCCTGTGCC